ATAGGTACTCATTTTTAATTGCGTGCCATGTGTAAACGGCAAAGGCGTGCACACACGGCAGTCATATTTTTTATATGAGAGACATTCCTCCCTTGAAAAATGTTTGCTACCGTGGAAAAGCTGACTGTGAAAGTGTGAACATACAAATACATACTACTATATTATATTATAATAGTATATAGGTAATCGGTGACTCCTGGTAATTTGACATTATAGTGATACAATATTTTAGTAACTCCCTCACGGCTTCATCATCATACGTTCACAAACATAAAGTTGGAAATAATAATAATCATAATCTAAATTGTTTAATTTTCTTTCTTACTTAAGGGGGGTTCACACTACACCGTGTCGTGTAAAATAATCACGGTTACCACAGTTACCAAACGATACCGCATAGTTGAATATATTCAACTTTTGACCGTGTGGTTACATTTATGTGCAGATAAAGCCGGGTTCATACTTAATGTAACCACACGGTCAAAAGTTGAATATATTCAACTATGCGATATCGTTTGGTAACTGAGGTAACCGTGATTATATTACACGACACGGTGTAGTGTGAACCCGCCTTTAGACAATATAAATATATACCTAATATATTACCTATCAGCTTTCTGTTATACCATGGGTACCTACTGATATGAACAAATTTAGTTTTATTTACATTTAAATATTATAGTTTTAAATTTATAAGTGTATATACGACAGTGTATGATGATGTATTTAAAAAATGTAAGAGACACGACTATTATAGCCTATAGGTATCCAAGTATTGGATCATTAATTACGTTAGGTTGGATTGGGACCTTTGCATAGACGCCTGTTTGATTGATTAGGGTTACGATACTATTACAATCAGAATAATATCGATATTATCATAGATTATACAATGTAATACTAATATTACATATATTATAATGATATTAAATATACTAATAACAAATATATATAATTATGTTATATTGTAATAAACTATTAAGAATATAAGTATATTGTGTGTAAGACACATACAACTATACAAGTATACTATACACAATTAATAAATTATAGTACCTACACAATTATTTATTTTTTATTAATTCTGTTACATGTAAAATTAAAGAAGTATCGAGTGCTTCAACGTCACAATGTAATAGTGATAATACAGTTACTTATTCAGATTGTTTACTAGAAGCGAATAGTGCAACTACGACCGATTATAGTTCAGAATGTTCAGATGAAGACATTTTTACTGATGATATACCTGATAATTCACCTCATATTAAACTGGCACAGTGGGCAATACAACATAACATTACACAAACTGCGACTTCTGCTTTACTAAAAATCATAAACTCTTGTTACGATCACACAATACCAACAGATGGTCGAACATTGCTAAAAACTAATATTTTAAATTCAACTGCCATTTCATTAAAAGATATTTCACCAGGTAAATATTATCATTTCGGTATTTCGAACGGGATTAAAAATCATTACGTCGATGACAATCAAAGTGAATTAAAATTAGTTGTAGGTATAGACGGATTACCTTTAAAACCTTTACCTAAAAGTATATTTTGGCCGATTTTATGTTATATTAGACCACATCATAATGCTGTATTTCCCATTGGGATTTATTGGGGAAATGACAAGCCAAGTGACAGTAATGATTTTTTAAGTGATTTTTGTGATGAAATTATAGAATTAATAAATACGGGAATTGAGATCAAAAACCAATCGGGAGTATTAATTAGAAAAAAAGTTACGCTAGATGTATTCTGCTGTGACGTGCCGGCCAAATCGTTTGTTTTTAAAACAAAGGGGCACAGTGGATTTTATTCATGTTCCCGATGTTTTACTGAAGGTGAATTTTTAAATAGACGTGTGTGTTTTCCAGAAATTAATTGCTGTAATAGAACACACAATAGTTTTGTGATTAAAGAACAAGAAGAATATCACATGAGTCCTAGTTTGCCTATTCTCACTAATATTCCCGGTATAAATATTATAAACGATTTTTCCCTTGACTATATGCACTTGGTATGTTTAGGTGTAGTTAAAAAAATGATTAATTTATGGCTTGAAGGACCATTGAATAATAGGTTAAATAGCGCCAAAAGTAAAATGCTCAGTAATTATTTACTTTCACTTAAAGGTTGTGTAACTAACGACTTTCAACGAAAACCACGAGGTATTGATCAAGTTTGTAGGTGGAAGGCTACTGAGTTCCGAACATTTTTACTTTATTTGGGTCCCGTAATGCTAAAAAATATAATTAATGAAAAATGTTATTTAAATTTTTTGTGTTTACACACAAGCATGTCCATTCTTCTTAGACGCAACTGCAAATCACGTCTTTTAGATTTCAGTAAACAGTTATTGCATTTTTTCGTCGAGGATTTTGCGACAATTTATGGAAACGAATGGATCTCTCATAACGTCCACGCATTACAGCACATCAGTGATGACTACATTCGTTTCGGTCCTCTAGATAATTGTAGCGCATTCCCTTTTGAGAACCATATGAAAGTCCTCAAAAAATATGTAAGAAAAAGCCACCAACCGTTACAACAAGCAGTAAAACGGTACAATGAATCGACAACTTATAGATTGAAATCTGACGTAAATAAAAATAGTTCAAATAATTCATTCACATTTAAAAATAGTCATACCAATGGACCATTAGTTAACGAATTCATCCCATTCTCATGTATTCAATATAAAACAATGGTTTTTAATAACTTTGAAATAAAAATAAATCATAAAAGTGATTCATTTGTACAAACAATTGATGGTAATATTGTTAAAATAATAAATATATGTAAAATTGAGAACCAAGAATAAATTCATCGGGAGTTTACCAATTGCGCTTAAAATGACCTTTTCATATACCAATTGCGCTCTAAACATTTTTGGGTCGATATACCAATTGCGCTCAAAACATTTTACACTACCTAAGGAAAAGTTATTAGTTAGTTATTAATTATAATCATATAATACATTATTATACTAACCGATGTTTTGCGAGTATTAATGTATAATACATAATATAATATAAATAAATAAACAATTTTTTTCTTCACATCATCTCTAAACATTTAAGGGCCGATAGACCAATTGCGCTCAATACATTACCTAAGGAAAACTTATTAGTTTGTTAATAACCGATTTTTTTTTGTTTCGGTGAAACGAGCCTATACAGTTTAGTTAATGAAAACTAAAATAAAATAGGTAATATTAATAATAATACTCGTAGAATAGGTGGTTAAATCATAAAGATATAATAATAATAATAATAATAATAATAAGATTTTGAGTTTAAGGTAATCATGATGTTTGTATTTTGCATGTTTTAAGAATAATAATAATTTTTTAAATAATAATTTGAGCATGGCATTACAATTTAGAAAAATATAATTTGGTTAGTTTACAGAATAATATATTTGTTTACCACTAGGTATAATAATAACATGATGATTTAAAAAAAAGTATAATACAAATAAATGAATAGGTACACTAACCAGTCACAAGTTTTAAATTATTTTAAAATAATTAATTTGGTCACCACTAGGTATAATAACAACATGATGATTTAAAAAAAAATAAAATATATAACACAAATAAATTAATAGGTGGGTACACTCACTGGTCACAAGTTTGATTGTCAATTATTCAAAATTAAATTGATAGGTACATAATAATATTATAATTCACATTTAAACATTTTTACAATAATGATAACACACAATTTTTAAAAATTCTTTTCTACTAATTTCCCCAGATTTGTATTTATCGATATATGAATTAATTGTTAATTTTTTTTTTAAATATGCTCTATTTGAAATATATTTTTCTTGGTCTATACTATTTATTGTAATATATGTGCTAGTCTGCTAGTCTGCATAAAATTCCCTATATTAATATATATAATAATAGGTAGGTAATCTAATTTGAGCATGGCAATTTAGAATAATATAATTTAAATACAAGCGCAATTGGTATATTGACCATAAAATATAAAGAGCGCAATTGGTACACTGACCTAAAATATAAGAGGCGCAATTGGTTCACTGACCCTAAAATATAAGAGGCGCAATTGGTACACTGACCCTAGTATAAAAATTTTGTTTTAGGCGCAATTGGTCCATGCCCAATTCATCTTGGGGTATAGTTTTCTGAGTAGGTTACCTTTTTATAAAAAACCTTTAGACAGTATAAAACTAGGTATCTCATTAGTTGATAATTTGACCAATGTTTTAAATAAATGGCCAATTGAGAATATTAATAATAAATGTATGGTTTTAAAAATGAATAATAAAACAATAGCATTTTCACTAATTCACACAATAAAAATGTAAATCATGATTAATATTATTCGTTTAAATTTACTTGGTTAGTATATTATTGGTAGTATACTATATACCTATTTGGTATTTATATTAGTAATTTATTTCAAATATTATGTATTATTAATGTTATTATGTTTTTGTTATTATTATTATGTTTACTTACTCATCTCACTATAATCAAATTGAATAACTGGAATTTGTTCTTTCCGTTAATGTTTCAATTTAAGTACTTACCTATGTATTTCAACTGTACCTATACATAAATAATGTATTTTGATTTTTATAACATAGGTTTATGTATTATTAATAATAACTATTACATTATACTCACCTTAAGTATTTTGAATTTTGTATTAAACATTTTTAATTAATTTAAATAGTTATTGATGATATACCGTATGCAGGCCCGTATTTACAAAAATTGCCGCCAGGGGCAACATACATTTTGCCGCCTCCCCCCTCCACCAAAAAAAAAAAATAAAAAAATAACTTTATTGATATTACACAATATGTAGTAGTAAATAGGTACATTAATATAAAATAAAACTCAGGTATAAGTTGTATAACTAATAACCAATATATTACTTAAAACAATTTTTAAAACATTCTTTAAAATAATATAACAACTTAAAAATAAAAATATTAAATTATAACTTCATAACTTTTTTAAACTTTTCTGCGAGATTGTTTTGATGCAAATGATTTAATAATATCATTGTAATCAATCATTTTGGTTATATATGACTCTATGTTTAATATGGCTAAACTATTTAATCTTTCAGATGACATGGTTGATCTTAAATATGATTTAATTCTTCGTAGAGTGGAAAATGATCTTTCCGTTGAACAGTTAGAAGCAGGAGTACATAGAAACATTCGTAGAGCTACATAAACATAAGGAAAAATAGCTTCTATGTTTTTTTCTGTGATAAATTTACACATATTAATGATATTTGTTGGAGGGTTTTTAATTGTTTTAAGCAAGCTCTGAAAATGAACACACTCGTTTTCAAATGTTTCATCCAAATCATTTTTGTATATTTTTCTTAATTTTTTTGGACCATCACGAACTTCTGAGGTTTTTTGTTCACTAATATTTAAGAAAAATAAGTATTTAGATATTATATCATCATAAGAAATTTTTCTTTTTTTTAGTTCTTCTATTAAATTATCACAAATAATGTAAATGGTATTAATTTTGAAATTTTCGCGTCCGTTGAAAATAGCATCTGGTTCAATAGATTCATCATTATGTTTCTTACGTTTTCTATTTTTGTGTTCATAGTCAGTAATTAAATCATCATTGTCAAACATAGTTTTTGCCAACTTTTCATAATCATTAAACATTGATCGTAAAGTTTGAACATATTCAATTAACGAATTATACAAACTAACTACAGTGCTTATATAAATATCAACAGATTGTAATAGAAGACTAGTTTTGTTAAATGTATGTAAAATATCACTCCAAAATACAGTCATGTATGCTGTTTCTAATTTATTCATTTGTCTAATTAAACCTCTGGCTTCAGACCGTACAAATGGTTTTTCATAATCATCATTTATTAGTTCTTCTAATACTTGTTTTATAGAACTCCAGTTTTTTTTTTAAACTGTGGCAAGCGTCTTCTCTTGCTGACCATCGCGTGGTGGATAAACTTTTTACAGTTGAGATAGAATATTGACTTAATTTATGCCATCGATGTGTGGATGAAGAAAAAAACACAAATATATTTTGAATAAAAAGAAAAAAATCATTTGCTTCTTTACAGCAATTCGCAGCACACGATCCAACTAAGTTCAAAGAATGCGCCGAACATGGTACAAAATCAGCTAATGGCGAAACTTGCTTTATTCTTGCTTTAACTCCTGAATAAATACCAGACATGTTTTTAGCATTGTCATAAGATTGACCTCTCAAATAACAAACATCTAAATTATATTTTTTTAAAACTAATAAAACTGATTCTGCTAGATTTTCTGATTTATGTCCAACATTTTCTAAAAAACCAATAAATCTTTCAATTGGCTCACCGTTCGATAGCACATACCTAATAACGAAAGACAGTTGGTCAGTGTGTGATATATCTGGAGTGGAATCTATGCTGATAGAAAAATATTTCGATGATTTAATTTCATCAACTATGGTATTAATGACTTTTTCAGACATGATTTTAATGAACTGTTCATAAGTAGAAAATGATAAGTAGGAAGTATTACCTTTGCCAGGGTTACCATACTTAGATATATGTTCTGATAAAAGTGGGTCGTACTCTGCAAGTAATTCCATCATCATAATAAAATTGCCAGTGTTTGAAGTAGATGATCCAAATTTTTCTACATCACCTCTAAATGATAATCCATGGCTTGCCAAACTTTTAACAACCGAACAAACTCTGGTCAGTACACTAATCCAATATTTTTTTTCGGTTTCTATTTGATGCATTAGTTTTGTATTTATTTTACTTAAATCTGATGCAAGTTCTTTCATTTTATAGGAACATAGTTTGTGTTCAGGTGAATTTTCATGGTAAGAAATTTTTTTAGGGTGTTTCCAATCTGAAAATCCTGTTTTTGAAAAATTAGTTTTATTCTCAAATAAGAGACATGGAACACAATAAATTGATCCAGTACTCTCAGAATAAGATAAATAATCTCTTTGACATGTTTCACCATTGATTAAAACAGTTTTGAAAAAATCTATATTCAGATATCTAAAATAGTTGCGGAAATGCCCTTTCTGAACAACACTGTACAATCTTTTTGAAGCTGTAAATTTAACATCTAGATTTTGACTAAATCCATTTTTACAGATATATTGCCTCGTTTGATCATTTATACACCACAATGCTGGATCCAATCTTAAATAAAAACAAATATGAAGTAAAGTAAGAATTTATTTAAAAAAAATAATTTGAATTAGTGTTTCAACTTTACCCAGGTATATCAGTAGAATTTGGTTATAATAAAATATTTATATGCTCAGACTGTTCTGAGCATGAAGGGTCAGAATTCAAAACACAGACAACTGTTGGGTCAATTTTAGATTGATCTACAAATTTTTCATTGATTACAACTAATACTTGAGGATTAAATGTTTCAGGACTAGAATATAAAAGAAATTATTAAAAAATTAAAACTAGGTACTTAAATTGTTAAATATTACTTGACTATTTCACTAGATTTTGATTCTATGGAAATATTGTTTTGTCCGACATATAAAGGTTCAGTATCCAAATTATCACAAAGAGCCAGTGGCGGATATACGGGGGGGATATGGGGGATAGATCCCCCCGGTGGGCTGTGGGTTAAAAAAATTTTTTTGCAGCCAATGCAATGCAATTTTTGCAATCACAATTATTCAAATAAAAACTATTTTTTTATTATTTCGTTTTCATTATCTCGTAACCAAAAAAGATACACGTCGTATCTAACTTCATATCAGACTGTATCATAATAGGCACAAATAGTAGTGACGTCAAATTGTCTATTGATAAGACCGACGGTTCAAAACAAGCTGTTATCACGGTTCATTCCATAAGAAATACATGGGTCGAAAAACATGCTTGAAAAAAATTGGTTTTAAGTGCATTTGTATATTTTTCTTAAGGTTCTAACTATTAAAAACATGTTCTTTACAAGTTTATACATATATACCGACCAAAATTATGAAGCTAAACGCTTTTTTCGTCAATATAATCAAAGTGTAGTACTTTGTATTTCTATGGCACACACATTATACCACATACTCTATGGATTATACACAAATCAGTTAAGTATTATAAATATTTTTTACTATTGCAATTTTTACATAGAAGTATGTACTATTTTCCCTCCATTTTACATAATAAGTATGTTTTATTACTATACTTATATATTTAATAATTTGTTGTTTTTTCTTTTTGAGCCATTTGCTTGCCCTAAGCTTTATTTCGGCGGTCTTTAGTGAGCAAATAAAGTGTCAGATTTCCTTTTTTAAGTGAGTATAATATATATTATCCTTCATTAATCAATTTACTAATGTAGGAAAATGATTTTTTTCCAGTTAAAAAATATGACGTCAAACAGCATCATCAAGCTTTCGTGCATCATTAATTTTATTGATGATAAAAAAATATTTTCTAAAGGAGAAAATTCTTTTGAATGTGGGTATGTCAAAAGTTTTAATTACATACCTGATGTAGGTATACTTAGTGGTCAAGTGCACGCAAGTATGAAAAATAAATTGTATGATGTTAAGGTAAATAACTTTGTAATTTTGATTGTATCATTCATAATATGATTCCTAAAATAATTGTAATATTTAATCTTTACAGATATTTTTCAAAGATAAAAATATTGAACATGCCAGCTGTACATGTCCGACAGGTTTGACAAAATGCCATCATATGGTTTCACTTCTTTTACATGGGCATAATAATATATCTGTAACTGATATATCATGCAGCTGGTCAAAAAAATCTGTAAGAGAAAATGATGAAGTATTGACTATTGATGATATGTATGAAAATAATTTTAAAGCTGTTACTGATACACACAATATTGATTTTAAAGCTTTATGCTTTGATAAATTAACAGCAACTAATCAAACAGTTGGATTTTCATGGTTTTTAAGTCCAGAACCTCCAGTTGAAGATTTAAGTGATATTCTTCTATTGGAAAATGTTCTTAATTCTTCAGAATTTAGAAATTCTAAAAATAGTGTTCAAATGTTGTCTGACATTTGTAAGTTATCTTTTGAACAGGTTAAAGATATAGCTTCAAAGACCATAGGGCAATCTGCAAATGTAAAATGGTGTCTTTCTAGGAAATTTCGTCTTACTTCGAGTAATTTTCATAAAATAATAAAATCAGTCAAAAGTAATCGATATCCTAATTCACTTTTTAAAGGTCTCTTAGGAAAATATTTTGTGGATGGAGTTAAATCGATTGAATGGGGGAAAACACATGAAAGCATTGCAATTGAAGAGTTTGAGAAGGCTAACAATTCTATTGTGACTAAAACTGGCATTTGGTTACATGAATCTGGATTTTTGGGAGCCAGTCCAGATGGTTTGCTTTTCGATGAAAACTCTTCTTATTGCATTGAAGTTAAGTGTCCTTATAAATTTCGGAATGAAGACTTAAAAATTGCGCTTTCAAATTCAAAAGATTACATCATTAACTTTGATTTAAATAAAAATGATTTTGTTTTAAATTCCAACCATGAATATTATGACCAAATACAAGGTCAAATGCACATGACAAAAATGTCATCTGCAATTCTTATTATATGGACTACTAAATCTTTAGTTGCTTTCAAAATGTATAAAGATCCAAATTGGTCATCAAATATTGATATTTTATTACATTTTTACCATCATAAATTCATACCTTATATTTTAACAGACAATTCATTTTTATAAATAACAAAATTTATATCCTTCTATATATTACATTTTATATACTTGAAATAGATAGATTTACTCTAGAAATTTCTTATAAAAATAATAAATATACTTGGGTTAATTTCATAATATAATTATTATAACAAATGGATTAATAAAACTTACATTTTCATTATAAAATTTATATCCTTTATATAATATAAATAATAAATAATTACATAATATAATTTAAAAAAATTTTATTTGTATTAATATTTGTATACATAGTAAATAATTATCATAATATTATAATTTTTTTAACAAATAAAAACTGAATATTGGAATTTATATTTTATGTCTTGTCATTATTTACAAACAGATGCTCAACTTCTTTTATTATTGGATTTTGGAAATTTACTAATGCAGCACATAGTTGAAATACTAATGATGACTTTGTATAAAGTGCTTTTGGTATGTGTGTTAAAATCTTAAACTTCTTCAGCCTAACCATCACCCTTTCAACATGAATTCTGGCTCTAGCTATGCTCTTTGTTTTCAGAACTTCACTTGGAGTGAATTGCGGAGACATAAGAAAAGGGGGAATGTTTAAGGAAGTTTCTGGAGGCATTAAGTCTGAAATTAGGAAGCCTTTATCAGCTAACACTAAATCACCTGGTTGTAATATATTTAATACTCCACAGTGGCCTACAATTTTTTTATCAGAAGTGGATCCAGGATACAATTTACTAGCATAAGTAATAACACCATTAGGAGCCACTCCAATAAGCCCTTTCAATGTATTTTTATTCTTATAAGAACTATATGTGAGCTTTTGATCCAAAAGGGATTTAGGAATATCGCATGAAATTTCAGTACAATCTAATGTTATTCTACAATTTTGAAAATTATTGAAACATTCTGGCAAGCAATTTTGGTTCTTATTCTGTGAAGGTACTGTATTCATTAAGTTAATAAATAAAATTTCATGAAGAACACTTATTAATGTTAATATAATATTACCTACTGTGGATTCACTAGTCTTAAATCTAAATGCTAAGTCTGGATAAGCTAAATTCAATCTTAGTTTTATAAGAGTCATAAGGATTTGGTCTTTTAAACAAAATTTTTCAACATTCCAATCATAATAATATTTAAAAGAAACTTTTGAACATAAATCAACAACTATGTCAAACATAGATTTACTAATCCCACAGTAAAACTCAAATAATTTGTTATCAGATTCAATAGAGTGGTAACCAAAAGGGTTATTTTTAAGAAACAATTTTTCTTTTTTTAATTCTTCAATTTCTTTATGAAGAAAATACTTTTCAACTTCATCACTTTTACTATTTGTAGGTGTTAAAACATAAGTTTCAGTTGTTGTACTATTTTCAATAATAATTGAACTTTCGTTTTCCTGTGAACATGATGCACTGTCTACCTTCTTACGCCTTTAATATAATAATAGAAAAAACAAATTCTTGATTTTAAAATTTCATTTTTAATTCTAATAATATTTTGTTATGCTGACAATACAAATACAATTATGCATGCATCATATAATTATGTTAGCATAAATAATTTAATAATACTTACTTATTAATCCATTTACAATGAGCTTATACAACTTTGTTCTAACTCCATTTTACTCTAACACATTTATTAGTGATAAAAAAAAATATGATTTATAAGTTATAATTAGTTAAGTATTAATTTGAGATAAATACAGGGTTATATAAAATATAAATAAACAGATATTTTATTTTTTTAATATACATCACATATTTAATTTATTTTGAGCCATATACACACACATTATATTAATATCCACAACTATTTATTAAAGAACAAATAAAATAATATAGTTAGCTTGTATGATTAGTAGACTAGATTGATATAAGTAAAGGACTAGCATCACTAGCAAGGTTAATCCCAAAGAAAACTAACAGTTATAAAATACAATAATAAACATAGGCACAAATCGCAGGGGTGCTAAGAAACCCTTAGCACCCTGAATTTTAATGATAGCACCCCGAATCCCGTAATTACCTATAACTTATATAATGTTACTACCATAATATTTCCATAATAACATCAATAACGTTTATTAAAAATTCATTTAATT